TGGAAGTACAGAACGAACAGCAGTTAGGACAACAAAGTGGATTTTTGTGCAAGAAGCGAGCAATTCTGATCTATCTCTATTTCTGTCCACAACTCGCACTTTCATCTCGATTCTGCACGAGATACAAGATAGGATCCATAAATCGAGTGAAGCCAAGGAATGATTTAACCATCAATTATATTACCTTCAAACGGTTTTCTTTGGAAGAGTTGAGATGACTCAGTTGCCTCCAAAACGTGGTCGCTTAAGTTTTCTTCTTCTCAAATAATACATACAARATGGAAAGCGAGGAGTAAAAGGAGTACCGTTGCAGAAGTTGTTAGTCTGTAAGTCCATCAAGTTAACCGTGTAGATCATCTCGCTTGATTCCATGGTGTTCAGTTGGAAAACGTAACCCAAAATCTATTATTTGGAGGTATTTACTCGCCATCACAGACAAGTACCTGTATAATTAAACGTTGATCAGATTTGCATACTTGACGAGTGGGATGGCGTGACAGAATATCATAATAGCCAATCGGAACGCTCTGATTAGGGGATTCCCCTAGGTACTTTTTATAGTAGCAATTGTATGACTTCATCCATTAATAACGGAAGCAATGCATTCGCCACCGTACTCAATCAATAACTCAAGCATATAAATCCTGAACAGACTCATTTTGGGCTAGATTATCTTTAAGGAAATGAATTTTATGGTGGCTYCAAGCAACGGAAAGCTGGCTTGGAGTAAAAAGAAACTAGTACCCGAAGAAAATAGCAAAGAAAACATCTAAGATACGGTTAAGGAATAAATRTATTTTTTCAATAATCGATAATTCCATTAATGAATATTTTTGCAACTGAACCTGCTACAGTTTTCAGTGCGCAACTTGTTATGAATGGCTAAGTCGTTACATGATCGGTGAAGGCAAAACCAAGGCAAAACGTATAAGGATACCTTAAAATTGCTCAAGAAGATCTATATTTATATTCTTACATTTTCCGATAAAATACATAATAATCTTCGATAGAATAGGAAAAAAMCTTCAATGATCATTTTTAATAGCCAGTAATGAACAATAGAAGATATCAGGGTTACACTCTAATTGCCTTCCGACAATTGTTACATTTGGGTCAGTTTGTATACATTTCATTGTATTGACCCAAATGCCTCGACTTGAAACAATTGTTTGAAGGCAACAGAGTGTGACTCCGAAATCTGCTATTTATTGTATTTAAGGGATGAGGGAAAAACAGTTGTCATCTCACGGGACCCAATTTAGGGGGGAGGGGTAGTGTTATCCGGTACCCAACACCTCTGGAAGTGAAATCTATTTTGTCACCAAATATCTCGAAAACTAAAGGCCCAATTACAGAAATGAATCAGCACTGTCTGTCTGCATGTATGCTAAAAAACATATTTGCGCATAGAAATTGCCAATACAAACCCGCAGTATCGAGCATTTGAACAGGTCTCTGAGGGGGGAGGGGGTATGTACCCACCACCTTAATTCATGAAACGAGGTCCCTATTTTGGACCATTGTTTTGACCTCGCTCCAAATAGTCCCTTTCTCTGGAATTAGCTGAAGCTTTAAACAATTATTTTACCAATAACCGGTTTGACAGGTTTTATTTTCCACTAAAAAAACTTACAGAGAATATAAATAAACAAAATTAAAATAAAACTSATGACAAGTATATTCGACGTTTGGACGCCCTCCGGTGTTATTTTCAAGAATGAAAGTAAAGTAATATAATTTGAATACATAAAGCTCTCTCGTGCGTGCAGCTAGAACCATGCGAGTTCGCATGTTTATAAAAATAACAGTAAATGTGGCAAAAACCTAATTTCTCCTGATCGGCTCTCACTATCTACTTCTTGAATGTGTCTATAACTTACTTAACTTAACTTAATTTTTTTTATTTATATATATAGCACAGGAATTTTTTTTTCTAATATGATATTAGCTTTTACTAAAAGCTAAATCTAATCCAATTTTCGATTTTGGGCTTATTTATGGCTTAAGTTATCGTCGTTTTTGGATCGGATACAGCTCATACAGCAGTGTTATTATATAACTTTAGGAGCCGCRTTTAAAAAAGCAACAGAGCAAATTATCTTGACAAGTGATTATTGCCATTAGATGTCGTCGTACTCCGCGAAGATGCCTAGGTGAAAATTTAAATAAATATWATTCGCTCTAACTTGAAAGAAATAAATGGCTTTCAATCATTCCCAAGAGAATGAAATGACAAAAGACACGGCGGCCATGTTGGAGGATATAACAAAACAGACTAATGACAAATCTTTTGTTTAATTCCTCCAACATGACGGCCGTGAAAACCATCGATAGGAATGCGTTATAAAAAAAATTAAATTACTAAGTAAACAAAATATCGGACAGCTCTCTTGCGCTTGCTTACACCAGATCTGCCTAGAGGGAAGATTTTCACTTTTTACACTGACCTATGACCTCTTTAACCATTTCGACGTGAGACAAAGGAATTTTTACGCTATTACAGTATTATATAGAATAAATATTAATATAGTATAGAATATAGATTTTTATATTTATGCGAAAGCGGTTATCCAACTTTATCA